CTGGTCATTAGCAGGTCCACAGAGAAACAAGAATATGGACAAGCTACTCTGAAGTTGTTAGTAATTTTAATGCCAGAATGGAGTAATTTTAAATCGATAATTAAGTCGTGATTTAAAATACTGGACTAAAATAATATTGATTTTAAATCTGTTTTACAGAGTTTCAGTAGAACTTGAAAAATTATGCTATTGCTTTTGTGTCTTTAGATTAAAATTTAAAATGAGCTGAAATATAAGTGCCACTTCTGGTATTCCCAATATAACAAAACAGCTGTAGGCTCTGAAAATTAGGCCCTAATCTTATAAACATTTAACGAGTTGCACAGTCTCATTAACTGCAAACTATGCTAGAGGATCTGATTTGGTTCAAGAATTTCGATGTTTCTTCTCTTGTAGATGTTCAGCAATATGGGAAGGTGAGGTAATCATAATTAACAGAATAAATTAATTGCTCATTAAACTTGTCCTTTGAGTATCTAAAGATGGTCATGGAGCCCTAGATTTGTTTTTGGTTTTTTCCATCCTGGATGAGCATTTTACATGTGAAACTTTTTTTTTTTTTTTAGACGAAAAAGTTACCTATTTAAAATGTGAAATTCAACTAACGAGGAATTACCTAGTGAGAGAAATAGGATTTCACTGTAGGAATTTCAGGCTGCATACAATGGGAAGAAAGTAAAGAACTGCAACATATAAATAAGAGACTTGAAAATTTTAAAAATATTTAGAATTTTTAATTTTTAAAATTAAATCCACCTCTGTTTAATTCCATGCACATAAGCAACTGGTGTGTTTACTTTTTTTTTTTGGATACAGAATTGTTTAAAATAAATAAAAATCCAGAAGTAGTCTTTTTTTTTTTTTTTTTTTTTTTATTCTAGGTATTGAAAAGGAAGATGTGCTGTGGACAGAAAAGTACCAACCTCAGGAATCCAGTGAACTTGTAGGGAATGCAAAGACAATTAAAAGATTACACGGGTGAGAAATGTATCCGTTGTTTTACCAAAATCAAGTATAACATGAGGTTTGATTTCCCCTTAACAAACAGTAGTTTACAGTAGGGGTATCAAACTTGCCTCTTGTAGCAGATTTGTCAGTTTCATTATTTGCATCAGTTGTGTTTGCTCAATCAAATGGAATATTTTGGAAGAGTGAATTCAAAATATGAGCTTAATAAACTCTAATAAAATACAGTATACTCAAACCATTTACTTTAGTAATTGAACATTCTTTAGTAATTGTTCATTTTGAATCCTTCCTAGTAGAATCTAGTAGATGTTTATACAGTTGATTTAGGTAAAAGGGGAAAGATTTTTTTTTTTTTTTTCCTGGGGGAAAAAACTCTGAACTATTCATCTTCACTTGGGATGCTTTATTGATTTAATTATTTCTTGTTTCCTCTCCTCAAAGTTGGCTGCAGGAGTGGAAAAGAAGAGCCGATTTAGAAGAAAAGAGAAATCAGAAAGTGGAAAAAGATGAGGGAAACGCCCAACAAGGTAGTGGGGATTTCCAAACCTCTTCCCGCCCCCACCCCTCCGCTTTTCAAAAATACGTTCTGGTTTTTTTGCCATTTATTTTAATTTGCCATGTTTCTAAATATGGAGACTAATCTAGATCATGCCATATTTGCCTCTGGCTTGACTCAGTGGTTCAAACTGTTTGTTTCCTTTTGAAATAATTCTGTAGATTCTTTGGATAGCATGGATTTTAAGGAAGACAAATCTGACAGTGAAGAAGAGATTGCTCTCTGTAATACTATGCTGATAACTGGCCCACCGGGTGTGGGAAAGACTGCTGCAGTGTATGCTTGTGCTCAGGAACTTGGGTTTAAGGTTTGTCTTTACTAATATATAATTAGGTATATATGTGTGTGTGTGTGTGTGTGTATACACATATATTTAATAAAAGGTATTTGAATTTATTTTAAATATTCTTGCAGATATTTGAAGTTAATGCCTCTTGCCAGCGCAGTGGTAGACAGATCTTATCTCAGCTAAAGGAAGCCACTCAGTCTCATCAGGTGGACAAGCAAGGTGTAAATGCACATAAACCTTGCTTCTTTAACAGTTGTAGCACCAAGTCCCCGAGTAAGTGTCATTTGTGTTGATCTCTTCCTTTTAGCAGTTGGTAGAAGAAAAGTAAAAGGCAGCATAAAAAGTGGTAAACTTGCATTCACCTTATTCTTTTAATGTTGGGAAATGTGGTTTGTTGATTTTAGGTGAAGCATACCCACATTTACTGAATTAAACTTTTTCCCCAGTATTTTTAATTTGACTGTTCCTAATAATACTTCTGTATTGGTGTGGAGTAGGAGGGAGAAAAGTTATTCTGACTATTGCTGCTTATTTTAAATTATCTTTATATTGCAGAGAGAATAGCTAAATTAAACCAGGCTTTCAGTTTATCAGAGTTGTCAGTTGGAGAAATATATTTTAAGCTTAAAACTAATGCAAACCCTGTCTTTTAGAAAAAATAAATTCTCCCAAGAAAATTGTTTCACCAAGGAAACCTCCACTTTCACCCAAAGGAACAGGAATAAAACGAAGTTTTCCTCCTAAAACACTAGCAAATTATTTTAAAGTATCTTCTAAGCCTAAGAATAATGAAGAAACAGTAAAATCTCAAGAAAAAAACAAAGGTAGGTATTACCATTTAATACGCTAGTTTGTCACCTTTTTCCATTTGCAGATAATCTTTCAGAGTTGCACAAATATTAAGGACTAATAATTAGGACGGTGACTAGAAAATCTGTTGTACTTGTGTTATGGTAGTTATGGAAGTTGATAGATATACTTTATGCATGAGTAGTGTCTTAGACTTCAATGGGACAGTTTAACATGTGAAACGTTATGCAGGTTTCCACAACTCTGCAGGACTAGGACTTTACATAGTAAAGTACTTGAATTGCTTTTTGGTTTTACATTCATCTCGTGGCTTGTTCTTAATATTCAGAAACTATACAAAAATCACCTGAAGAAACTGCGGATATTCAGATTAGATCAGTGAGCAAGGAAGTGGGAGGAGAGGAACTCAACAGAAAAAGTGCAACGTCTCTCATTCTTTTTGAAGAGGTAAACCTTAAATTGTCTGCGTGTTTTGGAAAATAAATATTTTCATGCTTAAATAATTTCTTTTCCCTTGAGACTCTGGGTAGATTTCAGTGTTAGGATTAGCAACTTTTGAAAAAATTCAGCTGGAAGTAATTTCACCCACTGAATTTTTTTTGCAAGCTTGGTCTATAAATATATATCCTAGATGCAACATCTAATGATCCAAACAGAAATATTTAACTATTATTTTGTAAATAGATGGATTCCCACCCCCAGGCCCATAACACAACTTTTGCTGTAAACCAGCACTTTTATTAGCTGGAAAACTCTATTAACCGACATCCAAGGAATGTGGCAAAAGTGAAACCGGAAGTACCACTTCGGGAGGATTTCCTGTTTCGCTGCCATGAGCCGAATTTTTCTTTGCCGCTTCTTTGGCCCACGGCCCAGGGCAAAGCAGCCTGCGCAGGCCCCCCCGTCCCCCGGCACACTGATGCCGGGGAGCATACCAGACAGTGCACATTTAATTAACTGGCATCCCCCATTCCTGGGGGATGCCGGATAACAGAAATTTTACTGTATTTCTTTTTCCTCTTTCCTTTTTTCCCCCTATACTTCACACAAAAAGCTAACATTTGCCCCCAAAAAACTGTTTTGGGCTGTAGACTAAAGAGTGAGAAATTACAGCCCAAAAGCAACTTAATGTTAAGGATACTTGTCTTATTTCTAGAATGTCATAATTGCTATGATATAAAATAAAATATTGTTAGATTTGAATATAGAGAAGACTGCTAAAACCTTTTTTGCACCTACTACAAATAGTGTGTACATATCTAATGAACTTCATTTGGAGTGGGTATATTTCCTTTATTTAAATATGTTTAGGAAAAAATGTTATTTGTACAGCTTTCCCTCGATTTTATGTGGCACATGCATTCCCAGAGAACAGCGCTTAAATTCGCTGGGCTCTTCCCGGGGGGGCACAGGTCCCTGGATCTGTACACAAAATGACAGCAGGTTCCCGCTGCAGGCTGGGGCTAGTGGCGGCACCAGACTCTTCCCAGTGATTGGGGCGGGCCACACAAGCATCGGGAACAGCCTGGTGCTGCTACCGGCCCCAGCCTCCAGCAGCAGCCTGCTGTCGTCCCGCGCACAGATCCGGGGGCACGCACTCCCTGGGAAGAGCCTGGCACAGCCCGGAGCCCTCCCAGGGTGGGGCGCACAGCAGCAAGAGGCGCATCCCCCCCCATGACAGTTCCGTCTGCAGCTGGCACAGACTGCTCCTGGGGCCACTTCAGCTGGGGCTGGGGTGAGTGGAGCTACGGCCCTTTCTTCTCCCCCCACAGACATACCTGCTTGGGGGGCAAGTGGGGGTGTGCCTATGCTGATTGCATAACAGCAAATTTACCTTGCCCATAATGAATTATGGGTTTAAATATGCTCATTGCATAAGAGCAAATTCGCATATAAAGAACCCACATAAATCAGGGAAAACCATGTAATCAGTAAAAGCTGGACACTACAGCCGGAATACATTACAGTACTATTTTCATAAGCTATCATTAAGCATTTTTACATATTTGGTACTTCCCATAGGTTGATATAATCTTTGATGAAGATGCTGGGTTTTTAAGTGCAATCAAGACTTTCATGGCTACTGCAAAGAGGCCTATAATTCTTACTACAAACGGTGAGTGTCCCTTGTCTCCAGTAATGGGACCCTGTAGGCATTTAAGGTCGACTCGTATGAAGTAGAGTATTGACTAGGAGCGAGCAGAATACGATTTGTGACCGCAAAAGTTAGTGAAACTCTAATTCTCTATGCAAGCACAAACTGTTTCTGTTAAGTTTGTGAGGTTTGTACAAAGAATAAATGCTAAATATATTTTAGTATTTAGGTAAAAATACAACACTTTCTTTTTCTTTCTTAAACAAAAGATAAACAATTTTGAAGAGGAAAATTTCACCAAATTTAATTTGTACCTTTCGTGCAGATCCAACTTTTAGTTTAATGTTTGATGGATACTTTGAAGAAATCAACTTTAAAATACCCCCTCTGGTAAGTCTCTCTGTTTTTGACATGCAGATCCCTTGTTTGGATTTAATTGGTAAAATTGAAAATCGTATGTTTTGAGATTTGCAATTGAAGCTAATATGTTGATTTTAAAAACACGTGCTGTTCATTACAGTCCTTAAAAATGTGACTTATTTCTTTTTACTGCACATAGAATTAATTCTATCTTTTAGCTAGAAAGCTGACAGGCGTATTTGCATACCTGAATATTTGAGAGAGGGTTTTGTTTTTTTTTAAATGTCCTTCATAATCAAACTGTCCAAGTTTTGTAAGGGAAGATTTTTTACATCTGTAGTAGTTACACTTCAAAGATCTGAATTTAACAGAATGAATCAGGCACTGACAATGAAAGAAATATTAATCTAGTGATATTTTTATTAAAGGAAAGAGTCCAGTACATGACAACATTCTGTATTGGCAGATTGCTTCAGTTAAGGGCAAGTGTAAATTATATAATGTGTTTAAAACAAAAAAAGGAAACATCAATGAAAAGGATCTTTTTATCACTTTCCAATATCTAGATTTTTAAATCTACAAGGTCAACTGAAGATAACAAAATTAAAGGACAAATGTTCTTTTTAAACTGGGCTGCTCATGCCTTTTTGTGGAATTCGGGAGCACAAGTGCTTGAAGAGCCCAGGTAGAAAAAGCTTGGTGTCGTTTGCCATAAGTCCAGTTCTGTGAAGGCTTCTTAAGAGTTAACGCAGTGGGTCTGAGTTGAGGTTGGGTATTTTAAAAGCTATCTATTAGCCATTATAATACACTCCTTCCATCCCCTCTTAAACTGTAGTAAATAAAGGCTAGTTGTTCTTTTTTTCTGCAGAGGGACTCGCCAAATTTATGCTCTGTACATTTCCTAGGTGTCCCTGCCCCAAAGTAATATGTGATACCAATAATTAAAAGGTTGAGCTAGAAGTTTTATACTTTTTTTTACAGGCAGTAAATATGGGAAATAGTTTTAAAATAGATCGAGTCTTATTAGATTCCAGCAGATTTTGCTATATTGTGTGTGACATGACTTCCAAGAATAACTTAGTTATGGTCAAAAGGCTAACAAAAATTAAAAGAATTGGAAAACTCACTTCTATAGTTCATAGCTGTTTCTCCATTGTCACACAAATGGATTGAATTTTTCCAGTACATAAGACCAGCCTTTTCCGGTAACTTGCCATAGTCTAAATGGACAAATACATTTAACAGGTTTTTTATCTGACATTTTATTTTAGATAAATGCTGCTAGCTATTTGCAGGTGCTGTGTCTGGCTGAGAATCTACGAACAGATATAAAAGACTTAGCTACTCTGCTAACTACAAATAACTGTGATATCAGACAGAGTGTTCTCTACCTACAATTTTGGATTAGAAGTGGAGGTGGATGCTTGAAAGAAAAAGGTGTAGCACTTCACGGTAAGTTAATCCAGAGTAAAATAATGGCCAGGATATTAAAATCTTTATACTAAAATGAAGAATGTACATGTTTTATGCAGGAGTTGTTACCAATCATTCATAATTATTTAACTTCCTGAAAGAAGTTGAGACAGTGATCTAAAGTCCCACAGTATAGTCACAGTAACTAAAGGACTAGAAGTCTGCATTTATTACATTTGTTCATTACCTATCACTGTGGTATCTGATACCAGGAACTTTCGCAGTTGTTACCCCTTACTCTTCTTTCCTGTGAGTAACAAGAGTAGGCCAGTTCCCTCTCGACATGGAGAGTAAGTCATACAATTATAGCAAAAATCATCCTGGGGCTGCAGTTAGTTCACCACAATATCTTGCTGCTGTTCTTGTTGATGAAGCAGAATTGAAGGATAAGGGGGAATAGAGGAGAGAAAGCTGAGGGAGGAGGGAATAGAGGAGGGAATGCAGGCAGATCAGAACTGAGGGCTAGGGAAAAGGAACGGTTCGCAGAACCTTTTCCCATAAGGAAGCAGTACATGGATTTTCAGCCAATGAGAGAGGAAGAAACCAAAGCAGGATACAAAGAGCAAGAAACAGCATTTCTCAACCCATAGGTCTTTAATGTATGAAAGGGTTGCAGACAAACTTTAAAAAATGGATTCTCCTTTAAAGAAGGAAAAACGTGGGAAACTGTGGCCTCTCCCTTGCAGGCTGTCAGCATTCCAGCCTGCTCGGGGCTGCTTGGGGCCCCCATTCCCCCCACCACAAACTGGGGGCAGGGGGCAGCGAGTTGGGAGTGAGGGGCACTGTGTCAAGACTGGCCATCAATGTTTTATAATTGGGTCCTGGTACAGAAAAGGTTGAGAAACCCCTGTTTAGGAAAGTACTAGTAGTAAAGGGGGAAGAAAGGAAAAGTTAAGAAAGGTAGAGTGAACAAACTGATAGGATTGTCAGAAGAAAGAAGAGGGAGGAGAACAAAATTAAATTAGTAAAATTCAAGATTACAGCAAGATGAGACTTCCAGTTTAAAAACTAGGTTTTATTTCTTTAGCTTGGAAAAGAATGAGCAGAATCAAAAAAGGGATAATGTCTTGGCCCCAGAATTTTTCATGTCATTGTAAACTAAATGTGGTATCTTTTGTGTAGGAAGAGGAGGAGGCCGAGAGACAAATGGATCAGATCAGTTAACTCTTACTGAAAAGACGGATTCAAAGAGTGGTGCTCCTCAAACTGATATACATCTTCAGAAGCTTCCAAAATGTGATACAGGCTGCATAGAAACTTTGCTTGGCCTTAAAAATATTTTTTTGCCCTCGGAAGATTTGTTTACATTTCTCAAGGTATTTTTGTAATTCTGGTTGCTAAAGTTTTGAAGAAAATTGTATCTGAAGAATGGGTTTACAATGCATTATGTAACAATTTTCAGTACTATTTAGAGTAGGCATGTTTAGCAACAATCTTTAAAATGTTAATTTGTACCTAAGGAATTAAAAACAGGTAGGTTCAGTCAAGCTAACAATCAGGCCGTCAGTTCTTTAGTTAATTGACTGGTAAGCCATGAATATTTCTCTAATATCTTTGTCTTTGTAACTTAAGTGTGGTTTACATTTAATTGATTGAAAACTACTGTGAAATTAAGCACATTTTTTTAAAATTTAATGTTTTCACAGCATAAAATCACGACAACAGAAGACTGGAATAAATTGATAAAACTGCTCTTAGAATTCCAGATGAAGAAAGTGGATTTCATATATAGCAATCTTGAGTCTATTCTTCCTTTACCAGTTCAGATTCTTCCAAAGCCAACACAAACATTTAACCCTTTATTTGAAAAGGCTACAGCAGTTTCTTCAAATGAGAGATCCCTTGATCAGCTGGAAAAAGCTAGCCCTGTGAAAAAGTCTAAAAGGACAAAGAACCAGAGAAGGCTAGCTTTATTGGATGATAGTGACTTATTTGATAATGAATTGAACTACTCTGCTGAATTTATAAGCTTGTCATCAGACGGTCCTAAATCATGCTTAGAAAAAAACCCAGATGAATTAAAATTTAGGATGAATAAAGAAGAAAAAGTTAAAATCCCAGCAAGGAAAAAAAGCTCTGCTCTTGTTTCTAATTGCCTGCATTCACTGACTGAATTTGTGGATGACATGTCTTTCTTAGATTGCTGTCTACGCACTAATGTAAGGGAGCCCAAGGAATATTGTAGAAATGAAGGGTTTAATTGGACACATGGAAAAATTAAAAATGGTCTCTGTGATGAGCACAGTACAGAAGATAGTGATTGGTGGAGTTTTCAAAGCTGTAGTGAACTCAAGGCAGCCGTTGAAGCACTCAGTTTTAATAAGTGCTTTGTTAATATTTCACAAGATGTGGAAGCCTCCTTGAATCCTAAAACACTAGGAAGTGATCAAATGGAGGAACTTACTTTGCGTATTTCAGAAGAAAGAAATAATATATACTTTGGTCAATCAGCTGATTCGAGGTAAGACCAGTGCCTCACTTGTTTCCTGGAATACTGTACAAGTAGTGGTTGGAGGAAGAAGGTTCACTTCTGTCTCTGCTGATCAGTGCTGAAACTTTTTCAGATGTGGACTTTTGCTTATAAACAGCTAAATATGGCCCATCCTTTCTTTCTGTTCCAGAAAAGATGCAAGAAAAGGATTTCATTTTTTTAAAATGTTCCTTTTCCCAACTGCTTGGGTTTATTGCCAAAGTGATGTCCATGACTATGCTGAGGTTGGGTAGTAGCACCATTCTAGTCTACTGCAGGAAATTAAAGCTGTTTTTTCTCAAGACCTAGACAATTAAATAGTTTGCTGTGGGGTGTCTTAATCCTTCAAGCACTTATACATGTGAATAACTCTTAACCATAAGTTAGACAGTCCAAATAGTATATTGGTATTATTAGATCTGGAGTGGGGAATGTATCAGCTGTGGATATCTTTGTAGTTGTAGCATATGCCCTTAAAACCAAGGGGAGAAAAACCTCAAATATAATATTCAATTAGCAAAGACATTTTGTTTTCACTGTTAATATAAAGGATTAGTTTTTAATAAATTAGCCACTGTTTTATCCCAAACTTTGTTGCATAGATTAACAAATAATTCTTTTACAAGTATTTAAATAGGGCAATAAATGAATTCCTAAGCTGCTATTAACGCATCCTTTTTTTGAAGAAGTCAGTGTGTGAAAGATTAAAAAATCAGTTGTATATATTGAGAGAGCTTTTATATCATGATTCAAAACCTAATTTGCATGTGCACTGTGACACTATACAGTTGCTGTTCTGATAGTGGGAAACCTGAATGTTGATAAACTTGTAACTGGCACTTTATTCCTGACCAGAATGGATGCCTTGATATGTTCAGGCTCAGGGTATGTGTTTAAACCACCTATACATGATCACTGTAGCTGTAAAAACTTCTCCCTAAACTTTTTTTCTGTGGTTTAACCTGGAGGATTTAGAGAGCAGACAACTTCTACTTAGCGCTGTGTAATTAATAATAATAGTACAGGGGTGCGCAAAATGTGGCCTGCAGGCCAGATGCAGCCCACCAGGCCACACTATCCAGCCTGCGGGGCCCCTAAAAAATTAGAAAATTAATATTTATCTGCCCCTGACTGCCTGTCATATGGCCCTTACTGGCTTATGAAAACTCAGTAAGCAGCCCTCCGCCCAAAATAATTGCCCACCCCTGTGATAGGTTGTGTATTTCATGGACCACTTTTGTATGATTACACCTTTTAATGAGACCTAAAATCAATGTTTTTGGTATTCATGGTATTCAAATGTCACCATTTTACTCATTAAAGAGTAACACTAAGTATGTCTCTCTTGTTTCTGTCTCTTTAGTATTCACAGAAAAGCAGAGAAGAGACTGGAAATTATCCAAACTGTGTTTTCGAGTAGAACTCTGTTACACCTGTGTAACAGGCAAGCTAGCATAGTGGAATACCTACCCACACTCCGTAGCATCTGTAGATCAGAGAAACTTAAAGAACAGGGGAAACTCAAAAGAAGGTAGGTTTTAGGTTGATCTGAATCTGCTGTGTTTTGCCATGCAGTAGCATTTGTTAAATTTCGTTACAACCTTTTTTTTTTTCTTCTGGAATTTCAGAGGGGAGGGGAGATGGATTCAGGACCTACTTCTCTCATCAGTACACTAAAAATTACTGCTTTTTTTTCTTAATGGACTTCTTTATTTCTTTCTGCTCTTTATTTTTTAACAGGTTTCTGCATTATCTGGAAGGAATTCATCTTGAAATACCAAAAGAAACAATGAGCAGTTTGGCAGCCGAATTCCCTTAGAGTGTTTTGACACCAGAAGTGCCTTGTACAGTGGGTCTATATGGTACTTGCCACAACCTGATTTTACCATATTAATTTTTTGTACATTCAGAGAGACATTTGTATATTAAATTTTTATATAAGTATTTAAAAACACAAACTGTATATATCTGCTGTGGTAGTATTGCCCTCCATGGCCAAAATGGTGGGTTCTTTTGGTGTGCGTTTTAAGTGAGCTCAAAAGTGTTTTAGTTTGTGCAGGTATCTGGACCACTTCATATTACTTTGGATTGCTGCACTGAAAGTGCACATTCAAGTAAGGACAAGTGATCCATGTTTCTGGTGGCTGGTGTGTTTGGGGAATGAGTCACCGTCCCAGTATCCACTCACAGCTAGGGCTTCACAGAATTGCAGTCTGGTGGTTCCACTCTGGATCTTCGAATAGTGGAGAAAACCAGCATGATGAAAGACTAGCAGAAACTTTAAAACTGGAAGCCTTTAATCACACAACAGTGAGTAGTGGGAGGGGAGAAGGCAGTAAAAAAGTCTTTGAAGTGATATGTCTCGGGGTATATGGATCTACTTCATTATATTCATGTATTTGTCTTTTAAAGATGTCAGGCCAGTATGTTTATCTCCAACGTGGTGAAGAAATACTGTAGCCCAAGAGATGGGATTCAAAGAATTGGCAAGATTTTTTGTAAATAATATTTTTATACCTGCATCACTTTTGGGTTTAGTAATATGTAAACTATTGATAGTCTTGTATATTGCTTTTTATTGTATTTTATATTTGATAAAGACTTCAGCCTGGTTACCTGTGCTTGAATCTGTTTCATGACTTGAAATAAATCTGTGGGTGAGACATTTGTACCACTTTTAAATAATTTTGCTACTTGAAAAGTCAGACTTTAGAGTTTAGGATGGTGTCTGTGGCCTGAAGGATTTTCCTAAATGAAACTTCTCTAATTATGTTTTTCATGGATCCTGTCACACTTGAGCTGTTTTTTCTAAGATTAATAAGCCCAGTATAGAGGTGTAAAATTGCACCTCAGTTCATCAAATACTGCTGTAATTCTTGGGAAGACCAAAGTTTAGCCCACACTGCAACTGTTACCTCTCCTCCTCTGATCTTGCTTCTTTCTTACACTTCACCTGTGAACATGCTTTTGGATACAGTAAATTTATTTGTCTGAAACTGTTGTATGCAGTTTATCTCTCCTGTGGCTGAGTAGCCAAGCATTTGGAGCCACAGCAAGCGGCTTATATTAATCAGTGTTAGTTTAAATCTCGAGTTGTAGCAGTGGCCTAGGCTCTGCAGTTTTAGAAAAACTATATTCCCGCTGTTTGTAAATGTGTACTTGTTTTCACAGTGTCTCATTAGGGCATCATTTTATGAAGAGTTGTACAAAGGTTTTAATACCACACCACCTATTCCTCTTCCAGAACTTAAGCCTAATTATAATTTTCCAATTAGAACATCCATGACCCTTCCTTCTCCTCTAAAACTTGCTAAAGAGCAGAAGAAACCTATTAAAGGAAAGCATTTTTTAGGAATGGAAACATCAGATATAACATGATGGTAAATATTGAAATGCAGATAAAGGTATTGGATTTCTTTTTTTGTAAATCTTCCCCTTTTTCTCTTGAGCCTTACCCAAAGGGCAGATTTACTTTCTGGATTGCAACTGGAATTAAAAGTGCCATGGTGGGTTGCCACACCTGTTCCCTCTTATTAAGAATTTTGCTGAACAACACACAGATTGGTAACAAGATATATAATGCAAAAGAGTTAGCCTCTTGCTTTTTCTGTTCCTTTCTTCTTGCATTCAGAAAAAGTTTACGCTTGAATTTTCTTTCCTGTCATATGCTGCACTTCCACTAGCATGCTAGTAATCTGTACTTAAACTGTTACTTATACTATACCACTCCCAATTGGGTAATATTAATTTTATGGTTCATCTAATTGTAAGTTGCTTTACAATGTACACGGTACAGAGTAACAATACATTAGCATATAGTAGCAGGAACCAGACCCGTTATGGTGCTTAAGCAGCGAGATGGTTCTTGTGTAAAAGAGTTTATGTTCTAAGAGACGAGACAGACCACAAAAGCAATCTGAAGTTCTTAGTTTTCCATCTCTCCAGCTAAGAGTCACATTCTTGCTTGGTCTGCACAAGAACATTAAAAACAAGGAAAAAATATAAAGGGGTACATGAGCTGAAACTTTGAGAGAGAGGGGATACACTTGTTAAAAAAGTTGAAAACCCCTGCCCTAGCATAATACTGCTTTGCTTTTATTTACGAGGAACCCAAAGCTCCAAAAAAATGTCCAGGATGCTCAGTTGCTTCCTCATTTTCCCATTGGTGGGAGGCAGACTTTGTGTGTCCCAGGCCTGACCTTTGCAGTTTTAATTGTACTTTTCAGCCACTTCCTTGTAGGGTGTGGAGTCTTCCACACAAGTGCAGAGTAACTGTACCACACTGTTCTTCTGATCTGGCTACTTTGCTGGAATAAATGACTACAAAATGTGCAGCATCTATTACTTTGTTTGGTAAACAGGCTTGTGTGTATGAACAGCAGGTATCCTGCTTTTCTCTTTAAAAATTGCAAATTCTCTGATGGAAAAACCCCAAATCTGTGATTTAAAATTAAAGGGGGGGGTGAGAGAGAGTTGAACATAATGTTTTATTGATATATTTACAGTTTTAAAGCAATTTGGAAGTCTACCAGTGCTTCAATCACCTATAAAATATATTCTAAATACCTGTATATTTTGGCATTTGATTTGCATAGACATTAGGGCTGGAAGGGACCTCAGAAGATTGAGTCCAGCCCCCTGCCCCAAGGGCAGGAAGGCAGCTGGGGTCAAAGAATCCCAGCAAGGTAAGTGTCCACCACCTCTGGAGGGAGCCTATTCCAGGCCTTGGGGGCTTGGACAGTAAAGAAATTTTTCCTCCTATCCAACCTAAAACGGTCTTGGAAGTTTGTGACCATTGGTCCTTGTCATCCCTTGGGGTGCTCTGCTGAACAGACGTTCCCCCAGATCCTGATGCACACCCCTGATGTACTTATAGGCAGCCACCAGGTCCCCCCGAGCCTGCGCTTTTCCAGGCTGAAGAGTCCCATGGCTCTCGGCCTTTCTTCATAAGGTCTGTTCTCCTGACCTGATCATGTGTGGCTTTCCTCTGGACTCTCCCAAGCTTCTCCACATCCTTCCTGAATTGCAGAGCCCAGAATTGGATGCAGTACTCCAGCTGTGGCCTCACCAAGGCTGAGTACAGCAGGAAGATGACATCCTGAGATTTACTTGAGAAGCATCTATGGATGTAAGCCAGAGTTTAGCCTGCTTTACCAGCTGTGACATCACATTGGTGGCTCATGTTCATCTTGTGGTCAATCGTGACCCCCTTGGGCCTGGGTTTGGGGGGGCATACCCCGGCGGAGCCTATAAGCATGCTGCGGGGGTTTCCCTGCCCCCCCCTCCTCCCCCCCGTGGAGTACCTTACATTTGTCAGTATTGAAAGTCATCAGGTTTGTATCCACCCACTTTTTCAGTCTATCCAAGCCAGCCTAGATCACCAGCCTAGCCTCCGGTGTGGACACTACCCCAAAGTTTGGTGTTGTCGACAAACGTGTCAGAAGTGGACTGGCCCAGTATCCACATCATTAATAAAGAAGTTAAAGAGAGCAGGTCCAAGGACAGAGCCTTGGGAGATGCCACTGGTCATGGAGTGCCATGATGATTCGCTTCCGTCGACCACCACTCTCTGGGTCCAGCCTCAGAGCCAATTCCCCAGCTATCAGACTGATGTAACCAAGGCCACAGCTGGCCAATTTTTCCAAGAGGAGCTCATGGGATACCAGATCAAAGACTTTTTTAAAATCCAGATATATGATGTCAATCTCTTCTCCCTTGTCCAGGTGGTATGTCATAGATGGAAATGAGATGGATCTTGCCGGACCAACCCACAACAAACCCATGCTGGCTGTCCCTCAGGATGTTGCCATCAGCCAGCTTGTCAAAAATGGTCTTTGATTTTTTTTTAATTTTTTTTTTTTTCCAGAATCTTTCCAGGGATTGAGGTCAAGCTAATTGGCCTGTAGTTCCCTGGATCTACTTCCCTCCCTTTCTTAAAGATGGGCACCACATTGGCCTACTCCCAATCTTCAGGTACTTCACCTGAGTGCCAGGAGTTTTTGAAAATCTTTGCCCATGGCTGGGCTATGACTCCTGCCAGCTCCTTAAGTACTCTGGGATGTAATCTTTCAGGACCAGCTGACTTGAAAGTGTCCAGCCTCTCAAGGTGTTCCTTTATAAGGTCCACACCAACGCTGAGTATAAATTCGCCTCACCCTGGCCGTCCTGCATCTTGCTAGGCACGGCAGACCCTTCGGGTTGATGAAAAACCAATGCAAAGTATCCATTAAGCAGGCTGGCTTTTTCCTGGGTGTTGGTTGTCAGTTGTCCTATTTGGTTGAGCAGGGGTCCAGTGTTACCCTTGATTTTCTTCTGATTCCCCACATATCTGAAAAAGGACTTTTTATTGTCCTTTATACATGTACCCAGGTGGAGTTCGGTTGCAGCCTTGGCTTTCCTGGTTCACTCCCTACAGGCACAGACCAGTGCAGATTAATCCTCCTTTGTGGTAATTCCTATCTTCCATCCTTTATAAGCCTCTCTCTTTTGGTGTAGGAGGTTGAGCCTTGGCTGAGCCAAGGGGGTTGCTGTGCCCTTTTATTACCTTTCCTCCGAGTGGAGATGGACATCCCTTGTGCTTCCAGGATCACTCCCTCAAGAAACGACCACTCCTCTTGGACTTCTCTCCCTGCCAAGTCTTGGTCCCTTAGGGCCTTGACAACAAGCCTCCTGAGCTTATCAAATTCAGCTTTCCTAAAGTCAAGAACTTCTGCAGTGCTGACTGACTTGCCAGCTTTGCAATGGATAGTAAAGGCAATTGGCTTGTGGGCACTGTCTCCCAGCTTTCCTTTGATTTTTAAGTTGCTGACTAGATCATCCCCTTTAGTCACTACCAGGTCCAGCAACGCTTTACCTCTTGTTGGTCCATAGACTTCTTGGGGCTGGTAGTTCGTCCATACACGTGAGGAAGCTCTGCAATTGTTCAGATTTGGCAGAGTGCTCTTCCCACAGGATGTCCGGGTAGTTGAAGCCTCCCATGACAACCCTGCACCGAGAGCATGGAGCCTCAGCCAGTTCCCTGGTGAATTCCTAGTCAATCTTTTTTGTTTCTGGTTAGGGAGGCTATAGCAGACTCATACCATTGTGTCCCCTGTGTCATATTCCCCACCTATTTTAACCCAGAGGGTATCTAGTTGTCCACCCTGAGTGCCAATGTCGGCTTGCAGGGATACGTAGCGTTCCTTGACATACAGCTACACCCCCACACCTTTTATCTGCACAATCTCTCCTATCCGAGATAGCTGCCTATACCTGTGGCTCTGTCATAGGTGGAGTCCCACCACATGTCTGTTATCCCTATGAGATCAGTCTTTCTTGTTTAGTAGGACCAGTTCCTCCTGTTTATTCCCCAAGCTCTTGGCATTGGTGTACAGACATGTAAACATCCCATTGGGAGCCCAAGGCTTCCTCATATTCTCAGGTGGACACCTTTCCAGGGCTGCGGTAGGAGTGGAAGCCCTGGGTGACCTAACCTGTTGGTTTTATAGGTATTGCCTAGCGGGCTTGCTTTGGTGGTTGTCCACCCATCCCCCAGCAGGCTTAGTTTAAAGCCCAGTCAAACAGGTCAGCCATTCTGGCTGTGCCCAGTGAAGTGAGGTGGAGGCCATCTCTTCCCAGCAGACCGCTGCCTCTCTCACCGAAGAGTAGACTGTGATTGTGGGAACTGAAGCCTTCACAATGACACCAGTGTCAGTCTTTGGCTGACCAGCTCGATCCGTCTCGTTCTGCAGCCCATGACCCATAACTGGGAGGATAGAGGAAAAAGCCATCTGTGCCCCTAAGCCCTGTAGCCATTCATGACCTGGCTGGAACTGCTCAGTCATGTCATTCATGCCCCCATAGATAAGGAGCATAGGGAAGTGGGTTTTTCATCATGGAAAAATCAGAGCTTCTGCTGCCACCCTCACTTACCAGGACTTGGGTCCAGCTGCAGTTGTCCCCCTGCTCCCCCTGTGCAACAGGACATGGGTCCAACTGTGACTGTTCCCCCTGCTGCTTTGTGACAGTAAGCAGCCCTGCCCCTGCTGTTGCACCTTACTCCCAAGCTACAGCCCCCCCCAGACCTGACCCACAGCCCTTTCCCCCACTTCCATCACCCTGCCTGGCTGTATGGTGTGTGCACAGGCAGGCACATGTGATGCCCCTGCCTCTGCTTACCCTCCCCTGCCTAAGCAGCTCCTTGCTAGGGCAAGCTGGAAAGTGCCAGGAAAAACTCTGATGCAGAGCACAGCAAAATCCCAGATGTTAGTTGATATTTAAAAAAACAAAAACAACACTTGACAGAGATGGGAGGACCCAAAAAGAGGACATGTCCAGGAAAACCCTGATGTATGGTAACCTTAGCTATATGTAAAGTAAGAGGAAACAGATGTTCAGTTAAAATACAACATTCAGTTTACTTTGGCTCTACAACAGTAAGAGATTCAAGTAATGTTGTTTCATATTAGGAGTTCATAAAAAGCTAGTGCCTGTAGTAGGGAATCGCACATCTCCTCCTCCCTGTTTTGTGCAACTGAAGAAAGTAAACTTCTATACACCTCCACCTTGTTCAGGGGAAAGGATATTCGTGGCTGTTCTTGGGTAGCAGATTCTAGGAGAAGTTGCTTCACAAGATCCATTCCACTTGACCGGAAATCTCCTACCATCAACCCAAAGTGTTTTCCTACAGCAGTTCGGGGCATGCTTATTATTTGGTTCTGGACATCTAACATCAGTGTTTTATGTAACAAGGTATACAGCATAGCTTCTATCGTGCGAAGATGTAATATTATAGGAAACATATTTATATTCTTAGTGGAAAGTACTTTTTTTTCCAGAACATAAACATCAGCTTTAGGAAGTTTGGAAACCACTGAAGAAATCTGGGGAGGAGGGAGAGAGAGAAAAATATGCACGTTAGCTAGAACGCTAGCTAAATCAGTTGAACTAGAAACCAAAATCAAAAGATTTCTTAACTAGCGTATTTCAGATGAGTGACTGTTATTAGGTATTTGTCATAAGAAACTATATAATTAAAGTACTAAGCTGGCAAAAAAGGATTGCAGTTTTCATCAAGTTTTATTGAAATGTTAACAAAAAAAAAAAAATGAGTAAGACGCATCAAATTGAAAACTTCTTTCCAGTTCTCCTCTTTGCCACTTTAAAAAATGCCTGGTTAAGTCTAAATGTTATTTAGAATTATTGAAGAATGTGGAGAAGGCTGTTCACCTTCTTGCAGCCACACATTGCACTAGTAACAAATCACAGCTCATAACTAGAGTGCAAGAAGGACTGTTACAAGCAGCTCCTCCTCACAGCTTCTGAATTTTTCTAAATACTTCAGGTCTTCTGGTACAAGAGAGGTCGCATCTTTTTTGTGGAGCTCTAGTTTTGTTTACCTGCAGAGAGTTCAAGACAAGTGTTGAAAAAAGTAGCTCTGCCACTTGAGTGCTGTATGCATTGCCAATAAACAAGCTTTTTAAGGCTATATCTCATACAGATTCCTTTTGCAAGTCTGTCGATTTTCTATGTGCAATCCATAGAATAAACCAGCAAAGTAAATAGTGCTTAGAGACAGAGCTTAGAAAAGGTCTCCCTTGGAACATGAAGTACATTTTTTTTTATGTATTATAAAAATGAGTGAGTAAAAATTAAACTTGAAAGTTTATTTTAAAAACATCCAGAAGACCTCCTACTTACATTTTCCAGATACATTGCTGGCTGATATGTTCCCTTCATAAATGTGAATTTTTTTTGCTGCCAGCTGTGAACTGCTAAGCTGCGATCCACGTGAGCCCATGCAATTTTGCGGGGGCCAAAAACAATAGACACAATGCTAGATAAAGCCTAAATAGGAGAAAGGTGGTGTCAGTTTTTTCAGCAGTTAATATCTCCAGCCTTCTGATGGTGTATGTATGAATTATGTGCTGAATATTATTTAATAGCTTAGGTGAAAATACCACCTTTTACACAACTATACACAGTTCTGGTTAATAAAACATCATTTCTAGACATGTTAAACTTAGAGCACTAACAAAAATTATTCTGAAAATAAGAGTGGTTTCTTAGATCAAATGGGTCAGGACTGGACACAGGCATGGGTGAACCGGGCAGGGCCCAGACAGAAGGGGGCCTGAAAATGGTGAAAATAAGGATTATTATGATCATTATCTCTGGTGAAGGGGGGACCGATACAGGTTTCCCTTGCTTTATGCAGGTCCTGTATGTGCGAATTCACTCTTATGTGATAACCGTTTTCATATAAAAAGTTAGTTACATGCAAGGTAAATTCACTTTTATGTGATCGGTGTGGTGGAAGCCCCCAGTCAGCTGCTTTGTGCGGTGCCTTGTGAGAGTGACGTGCACCAAAACACAGTCTCTGGTGTACACCTGTTCTCCTCGCTTGTTGTCTGAAATACGTGTTTCTGTAGTCACCATCCCCATTATTATAGTGCCCTGTGCTTGCACGTGCTGTCTGTTGTCGGCAAGTACCAACACTGTCTTGTAAAATGGGCCTGGGGGTCAGTACAGTCGAGATCTTGGGACATATCCCTATTGGTGACATTGTAAAGTGGGTTCCCTTTATACGAATTCGAGCTATGCGCCATTTTCCAGGAACACACGTACAGCATAAAGCGAGGGAAACCCGTCCGAAAAGTTCACCTGGGGCCACCAGGGGTCTAGGTACCGTGCTGAAATGGCTACGTGCCTGCAACGTGCAAGCGGCTACATGCCTGCAAACAGCTACGTGCCCGCAACCGTGCAACAGGCTACATACCTGCAAACGGCTACATACCTCTACATTTTTGATTTTAGGTTTAAAGAACCTCCTTGACAATTTAGCGCCCTTCATTTTTCCCTTTCTCCTCTCCGTTTCCTCAGATGAATCCAGAATAAAGTTGCAGGCCTTAACCAGGGTGTCCCGTTGCAAGAAAGGCACGTTCAGTAAGCTCGGCAAGTCCCCAAAGGGCCCGTGCTGCAGGCGGTACTCGATGATGTCGGCCGGCCGGGTGCCGTGCAGCTCTCCGATGGCGGCCAGCTCCTCCTCGGACGCGGCGTTGAAGGCCTGCAGGACGGCGGCCTGCTGCTCCGAGGAGAACAGCGCGCCCAGCGGCTTCTCGGGCCTCTCCGTGCTCCCATCCGTGGCGGGGGCGCGGGGGCGGTCCTGCTGCAGCGCGGGGCCCAGGGTCTTCAGGCCGGCCCGACAGCGCAGGGGCTGCAGCCAGGACGCCGCCGCGCCGAGGCGCAAGAGAAAGCTTCCTGGGGAAAGAGGCAGAGGACGCC